CAAGTCTTAGAATGGGCCGGCCATCCAACGTAAACGGGTAAGGTCAGCCAGCTAAGGCCCACTTTCACCTTAAAGATCAAGGTCTGTGAATGAAATGTCCTCTACTCGGTAGTAGTAGGAACAAGATGTAACTGATTCATCCGTGCCAACAAGAAGATATCTGATATTATGGTGTCGGTATAGATCAAAATTTCGCAGTTGCCAAGCTCGAGCAACTGTTTACCAAAAACACAGGTCTCCGCAAAGTCGTAAGATCATGTTCAAGAAGACCATCTAATTCTCCGGAAAGGATCTAATGTGCATTGCATGATCCACATCTCAGAATCAGGCGCCGATGAGCAGAGGTCATGCAAATAAATAGTCCATTTCCCTTCTCTTTTAACTTTCCATACTTTCTAGGGAAAATTGCAGCGACGGTTCCTAACTTTTCTATTTTTTGCAAACTTTACCCTAACCTTCATTTCGTGTCGAAGAGGTCCCTAATCTTTCGTAAATATGCAGGTGGGGTCCCTTTGGACGAAAACCGCCCAAAACACCTTCAGCTGACCTGGAAAATTAAAAAAATCAGGTATATTAACCCTTTTAAGAAGGGGCAATTCCGTCCAATCACTATTCCTCATTTAATTTAAAAATGATAATTAGTACAAAATGTCCCTACCTTTTAAGTTCATTGTGGAAAACATTTATATCTTTCATTTTTTGGCTCTTTTCCCCCCTTATTTCCACCTTTCTTTGCAAAGAACGTCATTCCGTCCACTATTCGCCAGTTCCTCCGTTAATTAAATACAAAAATGTCGTTTTCTTTTAAATCAATAAGAGTAAAATAGTCCTAACGCATTCAAACCCTTCAACTTATTTCACCATAAAGCACACCATGGTGGTATATTATTCGTCAAGATGCACAATTTTGTATACAAGCATGATAAGGTAGCATATCTTGACTACGTGAATTCGGATTGATTTAATAGATTTCTATTGGACAATGTCATGAAGATGTTGGGATACTCCCAAAGAGATTTAGTGAGGCATCTTTTTGGTTGGTGGAGATGCAAACTTCATGAATTTAGTAAGATTGTTTGGGGATAAGAGGATAAGATTTTATTTTATTTTTTTGCGTAGAACTCATTTTCAACCACACGTTCTTATAATAATATATTTTTCACATAAATTTACTAACTTTCCATACTTTCTAATATTCTTTAAAAAATTACTATTTCAAAA